ACTTTAAAAATAATTGGTAGAACTTCAATTTTGACAACCATCCAGTAGGTTTCTTTGACATGAAGGTTCAAGTGACAGTGAAGTTCATTAACTGGTGTGTTTCTATAGGCTGCAAACTGAAAGACTATGGGCAAACAAAATATATTACTGCATATAAAGGACTGTCAGTACTGCTGCCCTGCTACTGCACTGACCTACACACCACACCTGAGAAAGTCACCTGGGAAAAACACAACACAAATGGAAACACATGGGAAGTGATATCCAGTGAGAGTGGTCAGTACAGAAACAGAGTTCAGCTGGTTAATGGTCACTCTCCAGGAAATCTCTCTCTACTCATGTCACACTTGACTGAAGAGGATGGAGGAAAATACAGATGTACAATTAATGGTGTTGGATACAGAGACATCGTCCTCACTGTTGAAGGTAAAACACCTAGTTGATCCGCATGTAGTGATAATTTCATAACTAGATACCTGACAGAATCATTAAGAAATGCTAATGAAAACAGACAGCAGTGATCAGTAAATTCTGTTTGATCACAGTATTTCATGTTGGATCTTATGAACGCCCTTATGTCCACAGCTGGGCCACTGGACAGGGCCTTCATTGTTATATTTTGAGCTTAATATTGCACGTTTCAGGAGTTTATTAGCTAATAATAGTACCAAGACAAACTTTGGCTTTTGAACTTTTTGTTTGCACTGTGCATCAATCTATTTCAGATAAGCTCAAGCCCAGAGAACTTGGCAGTGTTTCTGAATGTTGTTTTGTGTTGTGGGTTTAAGAATTGGGTTTAGACAACTTTGAACATTATTGGTAGAACTTATATTTTTTCAGTTTTGACAACCATGCAGTTGGTCCATTTGACATGATACGGCTCGTTTTCTCATTTATGCAATTTACTATTTTTTCAGGTCTTGATCTAATCAATTAAATGTAGTTCACATCAACCTAATAAGAAATTATTCTGATTTTTTTGGTAATTTTGAGTTTGGTATGACATTTTTTTATTAACAATCCACACTACTTCCTTCATTCAAATCTATAATGTGGCAAGCTCAGAGGACTACTGTCGAACACACAGCAGTGCCCTTGACAACGACTCTACACAAAGATATGAATAAGGTTTCCAGATTAAATTACTCACCTTAAACCGTAATCCACCCTTACGCAGTACAACTACACTTCCTGTTGATTCACAGTGTGAGGTCAAGAACGTCATCACACCACACACCATATAGCTTTTGAGCTCACATTAACTGGCTGAAACATATAAAGTGTGAAAACACAGAATAGTGATATGATCCCCATCTACAAAACAGAAAAAAGAAAATTTGAACATAATTTTGAAAGTCAAGAACTTTGGCCATTGCATCAATGTGACCAGCTCTCCAAGGTATTAATAACATTGTGTTAATGGGAACTGAAGAGCAATTGCCAAAGAACAGGAAAACACCTTAAGTTCAGTTACTTTTTATGATAAATATGTTGATTTATCCTTTAAAATTGATACAAATACAGTTTGTTGTGGCTACAAAACTGAAAAATCCTCAAACATACAACAGCAGTCTTTAACCGTTTAAAAATTCAGTTTCAGAACCAGATAATTTCAAGCTTGTCAGGTTGATAAAAACAAAACAAAACAAAACAAAACCACAAAAACCCTCTTACACAATTGAAGTTTTGTGTCATGGACATTTCTCAGTGTCTCAAAATAAGCGTTCTTAAATTCACATAACATCACCAGGCTAATGAAAAAACCCCAAAAATAATAACCAAATATTTTATTTATGTGCACAGACATTTATGCACAAAAGAAGAAAGTCACATTATCACATTATTTCACATTATGAAGAATTTAGTATTTAGGAAACTTTGCTGGATGGGGAATTACTGTAGGACTTACTGTGAGGGCCCAGTCTGCGCTGACGGCCACCAGCAGAGGGCGACGGCAGTGAGGTGCCACAAGTTCAGGGAACTCCAATTTCCAGAAGCCCTTGGGCTCATTAGCCCCAACCTGGCACACTTGTGGACTCCTCTACTTAAGGCTGTGGCAAACAGCAGGGAAATTGCTCCAAAACTACTTCAAAGCCAAAAAGAAGGCTTGAACAAGAAACGACTCCAAGCCATACAAAAAGTGTTTGTTCCCCAGCGAGCAAACAGGTGAAACATAAAGCTTACCTTCCTCTCATAATCACAGAGGAAGTGTTTTGTTTTCTCATTATCTTTTATTTCACTTTTCTATCTCAGCCTTGGTTTGCCTTTTGCTTCCCGGTGGCACCAAATTCACACTCCATCACCTCAATAAATTAATTTGAGACCCTTTTTCATGGGTTTTCATCTCTGCCCTTGGGTCCGCCTCCCTGCCATCCTGTAACATTTACAGAACATGAAAGTCACATAGGATGTGGGAGAGTGTGGAAACTTATGATGTGGGTGAGCATGGTTACTGTAGGACGTGGGGGAGCGTGGTCACTGTAGGACGTGGGGGAGCGTGGTTACCGTAGGACGCGGGGGAGCGTGGTTACCGTAGGGCGCGGGGGAGCGTGGTTACCGTAGTACGTGGGGGAGCGTGGTTACCGTAGGACGCGGGGGAGCGTGGTTACCGTAGGACGCGGGGGAGCGTGGTTACCGTAGGGCGTGGGGGAGCGTGGTTACCGTAGGGCGTGGGGGAGCGTGGTTACCGTAGTACGTGGGGGAGCGTTGTTACCGTAGGACGCGGGGGAGCACGGTTACTGTAGCATGTGGGGGAGCGTGGTTACTGTAGGACATGGGGGAGCATGGTTATTGTAGGACGTGGGGGAGCATGGTTACTGTAGGATGCAGCAAAGCATGGTTATCATCTGATGCGGGAAAGCATAGTGACTGTAGGACTCGGGGAGCATGGTTACCGTAGGACATGGGGGAGCATGGTTACCGTAGGACGTGGGGCAGCGTGGTTACCGTAGGACGTGGGGGAGCGTGGTTACCGTAGGACGTGGGGGAGCATGGTTACCGTAGGATGTAGGGGAGCATGGTTACCGTAGGACGCGGGGGAGCATGGTTACCGTAGGACGTGGGGGAGCGTTGTTACTATAGTACATGGGGGAGCGTGGTTACCGTAGGACGTGGGGGAGCATGGTTACCGTAGGACGTGGGGGAGCATGGTTACTGTAGGATGGTGCGGGAGAACACGGTTACCATCAGATGTGGGAGATCATAGTGACCGTAGGACTGTAGGAGGACGTGGGAGAGCATGGTTACCATCAAATGTGGAAGAGCATTGTTGCTGTAGATTGCAGGAGAGCATGGTTACTGTAGGACAGAAGAGGTCAGTTACTGTATGATGAGAGAGGATGGTTACTGTAGGATGGGAGTGGAGAGGCATTAAGGTAGGATGGGAGATGCATGCACAGATCATTTTAGATTGATTTCAGTGATCAAGAATTGAGTATTTAGAAATCTTTCATTGCAAATTTACTTTCTAGACTACAGTACTAAGAATAAATACACCATATTTTACCAAAACAGTTGGAAGGCAAGAAGACTGATTTGGAAGTCTTGAAAAACCTTTTTACATAATGAACCACAAAAAAAAATTAAAACAGATTTAGAGGTTAACGCTTTAGAGAACTGCCCATTATTCCAGCAAAACCTTTCTCTTTAACTCACTAACTTATTCTTGAGCATGTAGACTTTTGCAGTGCAGAAATCTACCCCAATGCATCACACTGAGATGACAAAACATCATAACTTTCAGCTGCTAAACTATAACTTTGAATAAAACATAACGAATGTCATTAGCTAGCTATCTATCTAACTTCATGTTGCCCATCTGGCTTGCACGCCCAAGTATTTAACAATTAATTTCCATTGCTTTTAACTAAGCACTTTTGTTAGCCAGCTAGCTAGCTAGCACAAAAAGTCAGAGCTCAATAAAGCAAACGTTTAAGTTATTTACTTCAGCACTGTAGATGATCTTACACATAGTGGATGACCTTCACAAAATTAAACAATTTGAAGTGGTATTTACAGTGTTTAGCAGTTGATTGCTGGGCATCCCTGTTTTCCAAAATGGCTGCTCTTTGTCTTTTCTCTTTGGCTGATGTCAGAGCCTCAGCACATGTGGTGTATACACAAAGTTGAATGGAAACCCTTTCTTCATTGATAAAACTAGTCATTTTAAGTTTTAATGTTGAAGTTTTTGAAATTCATTTTATTTAATTGTAATGGGTGGTCAGTTCACTCAACATCACAATACTAGTTCAACTGGGCAAACTCACTTTTTACAGTGTAGTTAGGGGTTAATAATAGCTCCACCTCAACAACAATGTTCACATGGTTCTTGATAGCCATGTTTGTTAGCTTGGGTTTCCATCTTTGCTTTGCCATGTCATTGTTGCCATGTTCACCTGTTTCTTGTTAATCAGATCATTTCATTATTTGTTTGTACAAACGGCCCATGGTTTATTAGTTGTTTTGGTGAAATCATGTTTGCCTACTTTTTTCTTGCAAGTCTGAGACATTCCATGTTGTTCAGTCCTGATTTCTGTTCTGTTATCTCTATTTTTTGTTACAGAGCTCATTGTTCTGTGTTCTAGGTTGTTGTGCTGTGTTAGGCCTTTCTGCATAATTTCTCACCTACTGTGTTAAAAGTGATTCGTATTTTCTGGAAATGCCACTCCACTGTTCATAAAATATGTATCTCAGAGCACTACATGATGTCATCAATTATTTGATACATTAACAAGAAATGCCTGATACAGCAGGGACGGTAAGCAATAACAATGAGGATGAACATCAACTAAAGCAGTATGTTCAGTTTTTAAAAAGCAATCAATCTATTCAGCACTCACTCACAAATGTTATTTTCCAAATAAACCTCCTTGGACTTGGGTGTGATTTGAGTCAGTTCTCAGTTGCCTCTAAAGCATTATAGTGTTAATATTATCTTAATTTTTAATGTTTAGATAATTGTTCTGCTGTTTTTAATGTGCTTTGTGTTATCACACTTTTAGGAAATTCAACTGATGCCAGTGTTGCAGAATCTCCACAGTCTCTGCCCTTTGTCCCCTTTGCCTTGGTGACCGTGATCTTCCTCCACATTATACTAGCTGTGGTTTATCACACCAAGAGAAACAAAGGTACAAACTACACAATCAAGCCTCTGTAGTCTTGCCTCTGTTATTGTATGTGTGAATGTATTGGTGGTTTTATGTGTCTCTGTATCAGAATGTACATGAACTGAAGTTTTCTTGTTCATCTTAACCATCTAGGTGCCAGATGCTGCCATGATGTATTACAGCTATGATACTGAAGATGGAGCAGTGAGTCTGCAGAAGAGAAGAAAACCAACAGACATTAACAGCACAGCTACTGACAACACACCTGATGTTTGGACCAGCTACTGGCCGACCAAAAAAACAGACCAGATTCTGGACTACAAACATAGTATACAGAATAACTTAACTGAAAAGCACATAGCTGACCAACCAGCTACTGACTTTCACACCAGATCAAGACCAGTCTCTGACTTTTACAGTTGAGACAGATTAAGGTAAACTTATAATTAACCATATTTTTAATTATTATGACAATGAAAAAAAAAAAGTGTGTATATATATATATATATATATATTAATCGATTTCTTTCCTAGCTATGATGTATATTCTCTCATCATATTTTCCAAAACTTTCAAATGTATTTTTTGACCATTATATATGTATTTGCCTGGCTTTTATACCTGATATTGTAAACTTATGTTTAACATAAACTTGTTTTAGTAATATTTATTACATCCTTCATAATTATTTTTTAATAAATATGAAAAGTGTTATTCTTCAACTTTTATTAATGAATATATTTCTAGTGTTCATTTTATTTATAATATTGCACTTTTACAATCACTACAAAAATCTACACTTTTAATATCTCGTAATACTTCATGTGAGAACAAACAACTAGACTACTTATATTCAACCCAATAAATACTTTGGATGGACAAATACAAAGCAAAATAAATAGTTTAGATCAACGAAAGCAACTTTTTGCTTAAACTGAAACCTCCAAAAACACTTCCAATCTGCCCTGTTCCACTTTTCACAGCACATGTTATTATACTGATTACTGCAAGATATTGTCGAATTCTGAGTCAAAATGTGTGTACACTGAATAAAATGAGGGATTTTCCAACTTTTCAAAATGCTTTTGGACTTCTTTACAGTTACACTGGCAAATCCACAAACAAGGTCCATGTAATATCAGCAGATTGTTTTATCGTGCTTGTGAAATTGTACAAAAACAGTTTAAAACTTAGGCGTGAAAGAGCCTCTAGAGAATTAATTCAAGTATGGGCGTTCATAGCTATCTGGGAAGATATATCTATGCAGGGTTTTCTTATTAAATAGGTTGGCATCGGAACTATGATTGTATAAACGTGGCCCTCAGGCAGCACTGCATTAAACACAGACATGATTCTGTAGTGGAAATCACTGCATGGGCTCAGAAACACTTCAGAAAACCACTGTCTGTGAAAACCGTTCAGCGCTGCATCCACAAATGCTTATTAAAACTCTTATATAATACTATACTTATATAATACTATACTATAAAAACTGCATATATAAACCGGATCCAGGAATGCTGCCACCTTCTCTGGGCCCGAGCTCATTTAAAATGGACTGAGGTGAAGTGAAAAAGTGTCCTGTGATTTGACGAATCAACATTTGAAATTCTTTTTGGAAATCATGGACACTGTGTTCTCCAGGCTAAAAACCACTCAGCTTGTTATCAGTGCACAGTTCAAAAGCCAGTATTCATGATGGTGAATGATGACACACCAGCATTCCCTGGATGCACATCCAGAGGTAAAGTAACCAATGTGAGCGAACTTGGTGGTTGAAGTGACCCTTACACCTCCAGTGCTTCTGCCTGAGGTAAGGTGTTATGAAGGTACGGGGAGTTGGCCAGCTTTTTCAGCAACCTGAGATAGTTGCGGCAATGGCAGTCAGAGGGGGCCAGGTGAAATCAGTGCAGTTAGCCTTGGTGCTGAAAGGGCCAGCCTTGCAGGTACTATTAGTACTCCCTGTGACTTGGCACCACATCACAGCGAGCATGGGGATGCTGTTTGGTGAGCATGTGAGGCCCATACATCTTGAAATGAATCAGAGTGGGGCACCAGCATGGAGACATTCTCTAATTTTAAAGGGTGGGGCTAAGTTCTGCTGTGTGTTGTGGTAACTGACTGGGCCTAGCAAGCTAAGTAAGAGCCATGAATTAGGAGGAACTTCAAGTTATCTGAGTTCTTCCTGAGAATCCACCTTGTTACAGTATTACCAATGAGATGCTCACTTGGATAAAGATAATAATCTCCTTTAAAATAGTTTAATCAAGGACTTCTTTCTGTAGTTCTATTAGGTTTGTCTGTTTACTCTTGAATCTATTTTGACTTCTCTGTGTAGATTTAGTAAAATAAATACATTTATTATCATCGCTGGATGGCTACTGGATCTAAGGAGTGGGTGGCTATCCTAGCACCTGGCCTCGTCTGTTATAATCATGCAAAATCAAGAGAAAGACAACAGAGGTACTGCAGTCTCTAACTGTACACTAGTAAGATGGAGCTACACGGTAGGGGTATAGAGAGAGGATCACATGGGACTATGTGGTGCATCAAGTACTGGAAGAGAAGGTATAAGAAGTAGCTTGACTCATATGACTCATAGAAAACAACATTTATATATTTAGCATGTGTGAGAAAGAAAGAGGATGATTTCACCAGATGATTTCCTGTTTACTGTGTGAACATTATGGTGTGATAGAGTCCAGTGACATCAGTCTTTCAGAAGACTGTAGTGTTGAAGAGCATAAGAGTGTAGGAGTGTATTACTACAGTAGAGGTACCAAGTGAGGGTGCTTTGGGACTTAATAACAATGCAGGTTTGCTTTTATCTGCTGCTTGTGCTCCATGTTGCAAAAGGTGAGTGTGCCGTTCTCTCTACTACTGATAACATGCAACGCGTTGGCTTTGTTAAGGTGATAACAATGTGTTTTGATGTAATCTTTGAAAAAGATACATGGAGAATATCATACTGCTGTTCCTATATCTGCATCTGTGTCTATTCCTTTTCATATATACAATCACAGTTCTTGTGCTGATGTTGCTTCCAGAAGCAGTTTGAAACTCTGTAGTGAGTGACCGGGTGATTTTTATGTGCTATGTGCTTCAATACTCACTGTTTGCATGGTCTCCCACTTCATGGCTGAGCTGTTGTTGCTCCTAGACACATTCAGTTCAGAAAAACAGCATAAAAAATAAAAATAAATAAATAAAAAGTTGACCAGGGCAGATCTAGCAGGACAAAAGGGCACAAACTAACTTCCAGCAAAGGCTGCATTCTTCAGTATGGCCCATTCTATTGTCAGTGTTTGTCTATGCATGTTGGTGCGCTTAATTTAATACACCTGTTAGCAATGCATATATATGATGCATCCAAGGCACCAGACTGTCTACTGGACTGGTTGTAGATACCTGTAAAGAGCTCTCATTTCTGTATCCTGGTGTCCTGAAAACATTAACGTTATATCACTCAGCCCTAGTGGCCAATGAATGTAGCTGTCGAGGAGAAAGAAAAATGTGGTGTGGACTTTATGTGACACAATCCATCACGTGATCGAGAGAATAAAGAAGAATTAGCAAGTGGCGACTTACAGAATGATACTGCATGACTTTATTTGGTGTGAGTAAGTAACAGAGACAGACAGAGGAAGATGAGCTCATCTGAACATGGTTTGCTAATGCACATTAGGGTGTGAGAGTCCAGCGAAGTCCTGCAGGGACAGTAACCGAGTTACAGGCGTTACAGTTGTGTGCTCTTCGTGTCAGGCGGACTGTAGTTTTGTGATTATGTTGCAGAAGTAGTGCAGTATTGTATTTTTTGTAGCTATCAGTCTTTAGTAAGGTGTAGTGTAGACTGGTTGTATCTGCGGCAGGGGGCATAGTGAAAGGGTGTTGAAACTCAGTAAGAATGCAGGTTTGTTTTTATCTCCTGCTTGTGCTCCATGTTGCTGAAGGTGAGTGAACCATTCTCTCTCATACTGTAGATACTCCAGTAAATACCACAGTATCATTTAAAGCTTATTTCAAAATTTGCTGTAACCTTGCTGATCATATAAGGTTAAACAGTGGACAGCAACTAGAAGTATTTGGGTGACTTCCTTGGTTACCTTCAAATCAGGGATGACTCATCCATTAAGCATGGTGTAAAAAATACAATGGAAAAAAAAACAAAACAAAAAAAAACCTCAATATAATCTTTTCATAAATGTAAAACTCATAATATTTTGCTGTCTTTCTCTGTATTTGATGAAGGCTGGCAAGAGTGCTGAAAATCCCTACTTAAAAAAAGGATGTTACTGTAGTGATTATACATTGGACTAAAAGTAATAATGTTGTAATGTGTTATAGAAAGGCTTTGTTGGCTTTATGTCAGATGTAATGGGACCCGCGTCTTCCAAACAATTCCACCTTTGACTCATTATTCCTCAGAATGTTATCCCAAAAGTCTTGGGGGTCATCTAGAAGTTTTTTGGCAAATGCAAGATGAGCTTTGTTAATTTTTTTTTTTTATTTTGGTCAGCAGTGCTTTGTGCCTAGCAGCTCTCCCATGGATGCCATTTTTGTCCAGTGTATTTCTTATTGTGGAATCATGTACATTGACCTTAATTAAAGCAAGTGAGGCCTGTAGTTCATTTGGTTTTTTTTGTGACCTCCTGGATGAGACGTTGATGCACTCTTGGTTAAATTCTGGTAGCCTGGTCACTCCTGGGAAGGTTCACCACTGTTCCAAGTTTTTTCCATTTGTGGATAATGACTGTCACGGTGGTTCACTGGTGTCCCAGAGCCCTAGCAATGGCTTTCCAGACTGGCGGATTTCTTCACTTGATTTGACTTTGTTTCGCATCTGTATTTGAATCTCTTCAAAATGTGCCATCGTGTGCTGCTGTTTGAGACCTTCCAGCCTGCTTTATATTGGCAGACAGGTTCTATTTAAGTGATGATCAGATTCAACAGGTCTGGCAGTAATCATGCCTGGGTGTGGCTGATGACACAATAAGCAATTGAATTTGGTTAACTTTTTCGCATAGGGCCAGCTAGGGCTGTAGAGCATTTTTCCTTCAATAAATGAAATCATCATTTAGAAACAGCACTTTGTGTTTACTTGGGCTATCTTTGTTGAAGATTAAAAGTAGTTTGATGGTCTGAAATATTATAGTGTGACAAATATGCAAAAATAAAAGGAATTGGGAAGGGGCAAATACTTTTTTACATACCTTGTCTTCTTGGCTATATTTTTTGTTTCATGGTGCACCAAATGTTTACTACTGGTGAAAGATCTAGACTGCAGGCCAGTTCAGCACCCGGACTCTTCTTCTGTGAAGCCATGCTGTTGTGATGGATGCAGTATGTGGTTTAGCATTGTCTTGCTGAAATATTCAAGGCCTTTCTTGAATGGGAGTATATATTGTTCTAAAACCTCTATTAACTGTTCAGCATTGATAGTGCCTTTCCAGACATGTAAGATGCCCATGCCATAGGCAACCCCAGACCATCAGAGATGCAGGCTTTTGAACTGTGCACTGATAACAAGCTGGATGGTCCCTCTCCTCATGAGTCCACATGACACGGCGTCCATGGTTTCCAAAAAAAAGTGCATAAAAGTTTTCCATTTTGCCTCAGTCCATTTTAAATGAGCCCAGAGAAGCGAAAAAACTTTTTTACAGCACTGTATATAGCTGTCATGTAGCTTTATGAACATTGTTGTACAGTAAAGTGTTACCCAGTTCTTTCCCTAGCAGTACAAGTAGGTAAAGTAATGATGCATTTTGGAAACTGGGCCTAGCCTGGTCAAACATGTGTCCCTGTTGTGTAATTTGCCCTGCGATGGACTGGCGACCTGTCCACGGTGTTTCCTGCCTTACGCCCATTGAGCACTGGGATAGGCTCCAGCTCCCCCCGCGACCCATAAGCGGTTTAGAAAGTGTGTGTGTGTGTGTGTGTGTTGTGTAATTTTACATGTATGATGACAACATAATATGAGAAAACGAAAGCTGGATTCTAAAACACTTCCACATATTCATGGGCTTTGACAGTGAAAGACTTTAACTGGTATGGTTTTGCAGGCTGCACGCTGAAAGACAACGAACAGAGGGTATACATTACTGCACACATAGGAGGGTCAGCCCTGCTGCCCTGCTCCTGCACTGACCTACACACCGCGCCCGAGAGTTTCACCTGGAATAAAGCCAACATAAACGTAAATAAATGGGAAGTGATATCCAGTAAGAGTGGTCAGTACAGAAACAGAGTTCAGCTGGTTAATGGTCACTCTCCAGGAAATCTCTCTCTACTCATATCACACCTGACTGAAGAGGATGGAGGAGATTACATGTGTGAGGCTAAACAGAAAGATGGACACATCTTTGTCAGGCTCACTGTTAAAGGTAAGGAATGGTACTTTTCTTGAAATTTTAATTTCAGTAGGTCAAAATAATATGGAATGGAATATCTATGGAAGAAGTTAGTACTCTTTGAGAAAGTGTGAAATATTTTAACAAAATACACCATTATTTTGAGAAAATACAACACTATTTTGACATAACAATAATTAGAAAATAAGCAATTATTTTATATTGATTTGACTGTGTTTTGAAACATGTTCATTTGCTGGTTTGAGATGAACTGAGTTCTGTGCTAAGTGCATTTAGAATCTGATGCTGTATTATGTGATGTCATAAAATTTTTTAAATTTTAATTAAACTGAGAGGCTGCTGATGTACAAACCTAAATTCTGAAATTCTGAAAAAGTTGAGCTGCTGTGTAAAATGTAAATAAATATAAATGAAAACAGAATGCAGTGCTTTGCAAATTACATAAACCCATATTTCATTTACAATAGAACACAAAACACATATCAGATGTAGAAAGTGACACGTTTTACCATTTCATGAAAAATATTAACTCATTTAGAACTTGATAGCAGCAATGCATCTCAGAAAAGTTGGGACAGGGCCACGTCTACCATTGTGTAGCATCCCCTCTTCTTTTAACAACACTCTGTAAATGTTTGGGAACCGAGGAGACCAATTGCTGGAGTTTTGGGAGAGGAATGTTGTCCCACTCTTGTCTGATGTAGGATTCTAGCTGCTCAACAGTCCTGGGTCTTCTTTGCTGGATTTTTCATTTCATGATGCGGCAGATATTTTCTATAGTTGAAAGGTCTGGACTGCAGGCAGGCCAGTTCAGCACCCGGACTCTTCTTCTGTGAAGCCATGCTGTTGTGATGGATGCAGTATGTGGTTTAGCATTGTCTTGCTGAAATATGCGAGGCCTTCCCTGAAAGAGACACTGTCTGGATGGGAGCATGTGTTGTTCTAAAACCTTTATGTACTGTTCAGCATTGATAGTGCCTTTCCAGATGTGTAAGCTGCCCACACCATAGGCACTAATGCAACTCCATACCATCAGAGATGCAGGCTTTTGAGCTCTGTGCTGATAGCAAGCTGGATGGTCCTTCTCCTCTTGAGTCCGCAGGACACAGCATCTGTGGTTTCCAAAAATAATTTCAAATTTTGATTCATCTGACCATAAAACAGTTTTCCATTTTGCCTCAGTCCATTTTAAATGAGCTTTGGCCCAGAGAAAATGGCGACGTTTCTGGATTGTGTTGACATATGGCTTCTGCTTTGCATGATACAGCTTTAACTTGCATTTATGGATTGCATAGACAATGATTTCTGGAAGTGTTCCTGAGCCCAAGCAGTGATTTCCAGTCATGTGAGTTAGTTGCAAATTGCTCCTCCAGCTGTGTTTTATTAGTACCACTTACTTTTCCAGCCTTTTGTTGCCTCTGACCCAACTTTTTTTAAGATGTGTTGCTGCCATCAAGTTCTAAATCAGTTACTGTTTTTCATGAAATGGTAAAATGTCTCACTTGTAACATCTGATATTTGTTCTATGTTCTATTGTGAATAAAATATGGCTATATGTGATTTGCAAATCATTGCATTCTGTTTCTATTTACATTTATTTACTTACTTATTTTACACAGTATCCAACTTTTTTGGAATTGGGGTTGTAGAAGGAAACCTAAAGCAAGTGGTACTTGAATGTTTTAACTACAAAAATTCTTGTTACATTGGACCCATGGGGAAGTATTATAAACATGGATCAAAACTGTCCTCGAAATATGTTTAATAAGAAGAGTAATTGAATGCTAATTTCTCACTGTCATCTGTGACTGTCTACATGAGTGAACTACAGACCAACAAACCACTACATACTAACCTACACACCTGATTACCAGACCATTTACTGACCCACACACTTGATCTACAGGCCTGCCAATGACTTACAAATCTGATCAGTAGACCAGCTGTTTACTGCACATCTGATCAACAGAACAGATTTTAGCCTACCCACTTGATCAACACACAAGCTTTTGACCAACACACCTGATCAATGAAGCAGCTTTTGACCTACATACTTGATCAACAAACCAGCTACACACCTATACATCTGATCAATAGGCCAGTCACTAACCTACGAACCTGCAGGTAATATTATGGTAAACCATGGACAGCAGCTGAAATCATTTGGTTGAGTTGATTGGTTGTCTTTAAACCCACTTCAAATCTTACCTAAGAAATGATTCCGGTAGCTGGTTGATGTTATCAAGTAGCCTTACCATCCAAAATGATGTGCTTCCCAAAAGTACTGTAGCAATTTTTAACAATTTTAGAAAGCATTAGACCAAGTGTCATTTTGAAATCTTTCTTTTTAAAACTTAAGCATTTACTGTAAAATGACAATGTTTTGCAGAAACATGCCTTAGATTGGTCAAACATATCATATTTTAAAGGATGCCTAATTATTTCTCAGTCTTGTTTTCCGCTAAGCAAATGTTAAACAAGTGATAAAATGGTATGAGGAAATCAAAGCTGATATGTAAAGCAATTCTACATATTCATACATATATGAATACATAGTTTTGATAGTGATTGTCATCAACTGGTGTGTTTCTGCAGGCTGCGTGCTGCAAGATGATGGCCAGACCAATCAAATTACTGCATATACAGGAGAGTCAGTGCTGCTGCCCTGCTACTGCGCTGAGCTGTACACAACATCTGTGCGATTCAGCTGGTTAAAACCGAACACAAACAGAGACGTGTGGGAAGAGATATCCAGTGAGAGTGGTCAGTACAGAAACAGTACAGTTCAGCTGGTTAATGGTCACTTTCCAGGAAATCTCTCTCTACTTATGTCACACCTGACTGAGGAGGATGGAGGAAGTTACCAGTGTAAATGTTGAAGGACGTGACTTCATCTACATAATACTTACTATTGAAGGTAAAGCACTTAGTTGATCCACATCCGTTGTGCAGTGATAATCTTATTGCAGTTATTTTTACACACATTTTCAGTACTTAATTCTCTTTTTCAACACTCTTCACACAGTTAGTACAGTTACACTCTGTTTGGACCAAACCATGAACAGTTGGCCCATGCTTGAATGCAGAATGCATTCAGAACACAGAAATTTCAATTTTTTTTGAAATATTTTCTCACATCATTTTTTGAAATAATTTCTCACATCATTTCACTTAGCCTTTAGCAAAAATCACAAATATTATATCGGACATCAGTCTTAGCACAAATAATGATAATGGTTACACAGAAAACCTGCTATTAAAAGTATGTAAATAGGCCAGGCATAGTTGATTTTGAACTAGGCATAGTTGGTTTGGGTCACTTCTAGAGTTATTTTGTTCACAGTGGATGTAGTATTAGGAGCCCAGCACATACTAAGCAAGAGCTAATCTAAGCAGATATAAGCAAGAGAGGATATTAGATTTGATTTGAATGAGAACATGCTGGCTAAATGTTGCAAACCAGATAGGTTAAACTTCACTGGCCATGAGCTGGGACACATTTTACTGCAGTGGTAGAGTTTGACTGGGCCATGAACCAGTTCACCTTTTACCACAGTAGTAGACTGAGCCATGAGCCGAGACACTTTTTACTGCAGTAGTAGTTTGACTGGGCCATGAGCGGGGATGCTTTTTACCGCAGTGGTAGACTTTGACTGGTCCATGAGCCAGGGCACTTTTTACCACGGTAGTGGAGTTTGACTGGGTTGTGAGCTGAGACATTTTTCACTTAAGAACTGAAGTTAGACTGGGACGTGATCAGGCACAATTTTTACCATGGATGCAGAGTCTTTCTGGGTAGTGAGCCAGGAGACTCTTTGACACAAACACCAGAGTTTTGATAGGCTGCAAATTCAAAACTAGCACAGCAAAGTTTGACTAGTCCATGAACCGGGGATTTTGCAGTGTGACAACGAAGTTTGACTAGAATTTTTTCTTCCTATCAACTGGGAAACTGGGCCTGTGTGTTACTGAAAGAGTGTGTATGTTTTGTTTGCTTTTATTTGTAATGTAACTGGTCCTTGGTTTTGTAATGAAATACAAATAAAACATTGCTATTTTGGTAACATTGCCATCACTGTTATTTTGACTTTACAGACCACAATCTTCAAAATCAAAATGAATTTAAAATAAAAATGAACATCACCTGCATGTTTTTTTTCAGGCTGCAGTCTGGAAGACAGTAGAACAACAATAGCAGCACATACAGGAGGGTCAGTACTGCTGCCTTGCTACTGTACTCACCTATGTGCCAAACCTGAGACTTTCACCTGGAAGAAATACAACCAATCTTCTTCAAACTGGGACAGGATACCTTTTGAGAGTGACAGAGTTCAGCCAGGAAATCTCTCTTTACTTGTATCACACCTGACTGAAGAGGATGGGGGAGATTACTGGTGTGATGCTAACAAAAGTGGATTAATGTACATCAGACTCACTGTTGAAGGTAAAACATTGATCTGTATTCCTGACAAGTTCCAACAAGTTCTTTAATGAGGGTTTTGCATTTAGTAGGTGTGTGTGTGTGTGTATATATATATACATATATATATATATATATATAAATATATATATATATATACATACACACACACACACACACACACACACAGACCGATCAGGCATAATATTATGACCACCTCCTTGTTTCTACACTCATTGTCCATTTTATCAGCTCCACTTACTATATAGGTGCACTTTGTAGTTCTACAATTACAGACTGTAGTCCATCTGTTTCTCTGCATACTTTTTTAGCCCCCTTTTACCGTTCTTCAGTGGTCAGGACCCCCATGGACCCTCACAGAGCAGGTACTATTTGGGTGGTGGATCATTCTTAGCACTGCAGTGACACTGATGTGGTGGTGGTGGGTTAGTGTGTGTTGTGCTGGTCTGAGTGGATCAGACACAGCAGTGCTGCTGGAGTTTTTAAACACTGTGTCCCCTCACTGTCCATTCTATTAGACACTCCTACCTTGTCAGTCCACCTTGTGGATGTAAAAGCAGAGACAGTAGCTCATCTGCTGCTGCACAGTTTGTGTTGGTCATCCTCTAGTCCTTCATCAGTGGTCACAGGATGCTGCCCACAGGATGCTGTTGGCTGGATATTTTTGGTTGGTGGACTATTCTCAGTCCAGCAGTGACACTGAGGTGTTTAAAAACTCCAGCAGTACTGCTGTGTCTGATCCACTCATGATTGTGTTCGCCTGCTTCTTGTTAGTTCTTTAGCCATGTTTGTACAAATGGCCCATAGTTTATAAAATGTTTAGTGAAGTAACAAAAAAACAAACAGAATAACTGACTTGTGTCTGAGAAATTATTATTCCTTATTATTCCTATGCTTTAGTGCTGGCAGTCTAGGAGATTGATAGGGGGGTTGGTGAGATGCTCGTTTATAACAGCAAATTTTTTTTTTCCTTTCCATTGTCCTCAATTTTGACCTAGTCCAACACTTGATAGCAAAATAAAAAATATAGCTAGACTTTTCACCACAGGTCTCATATTTCTGTAATTATCATTAGCTTTGTTTTTGTTTTGTTTATTATTTTCCCAATTTATTTTACAATTTAAAGGGAATGGCCTTCATATTATGACTGAGATACTGTATATGGGTCAATGGTCTATATGCTACCATACTATGTAACTAACCATTCACTGATGCTATTGCAGGACCTGTGCAGTCTCTGCCCTTCGTCCCTTTTGCCTTGGTGACTGTGATCTTCCTCCACATTATAGTAGCTGTGGTTTATCACACCAAGAGAAACAAAGATACAAACAACACAATCAAGCTATTCTGATCTGGCTTCTGTTCTTGAGTGGGTGTAAATGCATCATTTATTCTACCTGTTTCAGTGTCTGATTCTGTTTGAATTTGGATTTTATTGTTTATTTCACTACTTAAGCACCAGATCCTGCCACAGTTTACTACAGCACTGCCACTGAAGATTGAGTCTACAGTGGAAAAGAACAACAGACCAGCTATTGAAAACACATCTGGTCAATAGGCCAGTGCCTCCACACCTGATAGCAGATATGCTACTGACCAACACACCCAATCAACAGACCACTTACTGGGCTACCCATACAACTGATCAACAGACCAGCAACCTGTCTACAAACCTGATCAATACACCACCTTTTTACATACACACCTGGCAAACAGACAACCTGATGACCTACACACCAGATCGACTGACCAGCTACTGACCTTTACAGCCCAGCTATGGACTTTATTGCTATAAGTATGGAAGAGTGAAGTTTTTGCTTGTGTTTTTCAATACAGCTAACCTTCAACACAGGATTTTGAACATGTGGCAGCTATTTTTTTTTTTCCTCTGTAGATATGTATAGCCTTACTTAATGTTTCTTCATTATATCATATTCAATCTGAATCCTTTTGCAAAGTATGTTGACTATTATATATGTTTGGTTTATACCTGACATAATAAACTTGAAATAATTTATTTAATGTTAATGACTTACTAAACTTTTTATAAACTCTAATAAAACACGCTCCTGAAGTAAACTGATGCTATCTAGAACCTATAGGAATGAAAATATTGCCTATTATGCACAAATAATGTTAATTTAAATTAGTACTTCATGTTCAATATTATCAATAGCAATGTCTTAAAGTGTTTATTCTGCTTTATTAAAACTAATAATTAAATATTAGTGATTTTCACATAGTAGACTTCCAATGATGTAGTAATACAGCTCATAATGAATAAACCTTCATGCATAGTTAATAAAGCATTAGAAGTGTCTAATTCAGGCTTTATTAAACAAAGAACTAGACCTTCATAAACTCTGGCCATCCGTTATTACCTCATTCAGTCTTTCAGTCCTTTGGAAGTGTGCAGTTTTCCATAGTATATTTTGAATTTTAAGCTCCAGATAAGGTGAAGAAATGTGCCTGGGAGACCCGTGAAAGCAAGATGAAATACACTGACAGGTTTTTTAACCCATTTCCAAAGCCAAACACAAATAAATTAGCTTGTGTTTAGAAATGTCGTTGTGTCTGTGCCACCATTGCTATTGCCAGTAGATTTTTTAAGTCTCCAAAGTGTGATATGCATGGTCTATAAACATTGCTCATGCTTCTGTAGCAGTATGCTGTAGTTAGGATGCTCAACCCTATGCTATACCACTAAGAGTCCTTAGGCAAGACTCCTAACACTACTTTTGCCTGCTTCTGTAAGCCGATCAATTTGTAAGCTGTTCTGGACGAGTGCTTGCTAAATGCCATACATATGTAATTTTGCAGTGATGGTTGGGTTTATGTGAAGTCCATATTCTCTTTGATGTGAAACAGTCTTGTTATTTTATTGTAGCTTTGGCTTAGGAAGGATGACGACTGCATTGCTTAAATCTTAATAGTGTGATGTCAAGACACTTCAGGACATTGTGCATTTGGAAATATATAAAATAAATCCCTCTTCTAATAGAATGTATATATTCTTTCGAAATGTACACTATATTGCCAAAAGTATTCACTCACCCATCCAAATCATGGAATTCAGGTGTTCCAATCACTTCTATGGCCACAGATGTATAAAACTAAGCACCTAGGCATGCAGACTTCTACAAACATTTGTGAAAGAATGGGTCACTCTCAGGAGCTCAGTGAATTCCAGCGTGGTACCATGATAGGATGCCACCTGTGCAACAAGTCCAATTTCCTCACTACTAAATATTCCACAATCAAATGTCAGTGGTATTATAACAAAGTGGAAGTGATTGGGACTGACAGCAACTTAACCACGAAG